TGCAAAGACAAAGGATGACCTTGGCTTTCTAGAAAGAATATTGTTATGGCTACATAGCATTTAACTCCGTACAATCCCTGCTCCCATTTTCCCACCATAGAAAATGCATAGTAGAATAATAGACATCTTGATTTCTGACCGTCTTTATAGCTTCTTGTTCCTTTTCCCTTGTGCAGAGGAAGAATATCAACCGTTGTTGCCCACGGAGGAGACCACGTTTCAGATTCTGACTCAGTCCATCAACCCTCTGGATTACAGGAAGTGGAGGAGGAAACCCTGCTACTGGAAACTGCTCAAGGCGTGCAAGGTGAGAGCTACGTCTTTCTTATTAAAAAAAAATAGCCGATAGCCATTGCCTGGGTATTATTTACAGGGGGGGAATGTCCAGACCAAACGTAATTTATAATGTTGGATTTTCCCCCTTACCAGAGCCCCACTGTGGAGTACTGTGAAGCCGTTACCATGGCAACTCCACTGCGCTGCACAGTAGAAGCCATTTTACGGCAGTACAGTAGAAGCCATTTTAAGGCACAACAGGTTGTATCTTAACAGGACACACAGCCACGAGGAATGTTAGGGGTGTCCTACCCCCCACAGTATTTGTCTCCAGAGAGTAAGTCATCTGTGTACCAAATTTGGTTGGAATTCCTCCAGGCGTTGGAACACACACATAGACACACACATGTTGATAGATAGCGTGACCTGTCAAATGTGCGCCTGACAAAAGCGTGCCGACAAAACCGCGGTGAGAAAAGAGCGAGGTCGAAATTGTGCCCACAGAAGCGCGCCGATAAATGTGCACCGACGAAAGCGCGATTAGGGTTAAGGTAAGGGTTAGGGTTAGGGTTAGGGTTAGGGTTAGGGTTCTTACATTGTTTTCGCGTTGGTTCTTGATGGCGGGCTTTCGTCGGCACGCATTTATCGGCACGGTTCTGTGGGCGCAATTTCCACCTCGCTCTTTTCTCCCTGCGGTTTTGTCGGCGCACTTTTGTCAAGTGCGCATTTGTCCGTAAACAGATAGATAGATAGATAGATAGATAGATAGATAGATAGATAGATAGATAGATAGATAGATAGATAGATAGATGATAGATAGATAATAGATAATAAACCTTCAAGCTAAATGGCGCAGTCTCTTCTCAAGGAACATCTAAAAGCTTCTGGCTCTTCTAAACTGCATCAGTCTTCTTCTTCTTCTTGTGCTATGTCCACCATCATACGTTGGCGGTCATGTTGGCCATCCTATTTTTATCAACAGCCACACGAAAAAGTGCCGTTGAGTTTTGTCCAAACCGGTCCCTTAGATTTTGAATCCATGATGTTCTCCTTCTGCCTGGACCTCTCTTGCCTTCGATCTTTCCTTGGAGAGGATTAAGTGAAGGGAGGCGCATTTTTCCAGGTGTCGCATCCCATGTCTGAAATATTCTTTCGCTTTTTTTATGCTTTTGATGATTTTTCCCTTGGCTTTCCCAAGCGGCTTACCACCTCTTCCGTTCTGATTTTGTCAACCCAGTTTATACGTAACAGCTGCCTGTTAATCCACATCTCAAATACTTCTAGTCTCTTCAAGGGGTTTTCTGTCAGAGACCAACTCCTTTCTACTCCGTAGAGCAGGGTAGAAAAGATGTAGCATCTGACAAGCGTGATTTTCAGTCTCAGGCTTCTGTCGTGACTGCAGAAAACCTCTTCCATTTTGAAGGACACCGTTCAAGCTTTCCCTAGCCTTGTCTTTATTTCAGAATGGAATAGAATAGAATAGGAACAGATAATAGAATAGAATAAGGAAATAAGGAAGTAGAATAGAATAGGAACAGAGAATANAAGTCGTAAAGTTACCACAGTTGGAGACCCCTGTTTTGACCCATTTTCAAAGCAGGCGTGTACAAGCCATCGTGGTTAAAGCCTTGGGGCCAAAGTGAACTCAAATGTCCCACTCTTTGTTACTCACAAGTCCGTTCGGCATAGTCTGCTGCCCGTGATTGAGGTACATGTAGTGGTTATTATAGCCACTGCAGGTGAAGACCTCCAGCGAGGGAGAAACGGAGAACAAAAAGCAGGTGTTGTTTCCTGTAAGCAACAAATGAATAATGAGTTGTGGACCAGAGAGAAAAGAAAACAGAAAAGATTCGACCTGGCAGAGCCTAACTGGAAAAAGTGAAGTGGCTAGTCCTCATTCATTTCCCATTTTGAGGGGAGAGCTAGCTGTTGGAAGTTTCTTCTAAGAGAAGGCTGCCACCTGGTGGATAGCATCAGCTGTCACACTTTGTGTATGCACGGGTGTCTCTACTTATTATCTACCACTAAAACTCACATTTTGTGGTTTTCTGTTTGTCTGTTTGTGACCTCCGAAGAGCCCAAACAGTGCATTGCAACCAGCGTACTTAAAATCTGCTAAATTAATGCATGGAATATCCGGAACAATTCTTTATAACCGTGATAGAGAACCTATGACACGCGTGCCCGAAGTGGCACGGGGAGCCATGTCGCCTGGCACACGCGGCATCGCCCATTCCTCTTCCGGGTTTCTGGCGCGCATGTGTGCGTGACAATCAGCTGACTTTCATGCATGCCGCAGCGCTGTTTCCCAGTGTGAGCATGCCTGTGGCTAGCCGACAGTATATGTGTGCCAGCAACCGCAGGTCCAGCGCAAATGCGCCCGCTGGAAACCAGAAGTCCATTTTCCGATGCTCACATGCTCCCTGGGCAGCTCCTTTTCCAGGTCACATCCCAAAGAAGCGTGCATGTTCCCTTTTCGGCACTCGGTGCCAGAAAGGTTCGCAGTCCCTGGTTTGCAACTTTCTTTTTTTCTTAATACATTTTTATTTTAAACACATAAACACATCAACAGAAACAGACACATGACTTAAAACAACATAGGAACAAGAA